AGTTGAATCTGCCAGAGAGCGGCAATTCACCTGCACAAAGCAAACTTTTGTGCAAGATAAGCAATCACCCAGAGCCTAATTATTGGTCATTTGTGTACAACAAAGTCCCAGCGAGGGAATGAGTTAGCATAAGAAGAGCCTTCAGAAACAAGTAGTAGTGGAGTAAATAGTGTGAAGTAGGTTAATGAGGTGGCTTAAGTAAAGGTAGGACGAGTGCAACAAATTGTTCGCCTCTTCTCTTGCCCAACATGGAAAGCACGTTGGTTGTTGGCAGCATTAAGCGGACACACTTAGTGGCTCCTTCCCCGTGGGAAGGAGGCTCGCTTGAGTGTCGGCTGCAGACTCTAATTTGGTCCTTTTTCTGGTTGAGTGTGCTACATCAATTGTGTGTAGGACTAGGTTGTGGGCAAGAGCAGCTCCGGAGCTGCACCGCATTACTCCAGCAGTTTAGCAGGTCGACAACGCGTATGACTTGGAAGTGTTCGACTGAAGGGGAGAGAATGGGATTGTGGAGTCACGTGACCGTTTGGATCGTTTCGTCCCCTTTCCGCCATGTCAGTGAGGGACCAGGGAAATGGCAACGACCGCCTACGCCAATATTTATGTCGAAGTTTTCCAAGCAAAAGCGTGCTTCCGGCCGAATCGCGTCACCGTCTGGGATGCATTATAAGTCGTGGGGAGCGAATTCCATTGGTTTGCACTCACACTAATAGATGGCGTGCACATACTGCAGGGCAGGTCTTGCAGTTAAAGCTTCGCTTATGGACGGTGTTTTGGGAGCATGGAATTGCTGCCACCAGTTCAGTTGGCCAATCTTCCAGGAGAATTAAAATTTATGGTCTCGAATTGCACATCCCCCTAAAGGATTCGGAGCAGTATACGAAATCACACCATTTTGAAATGGAGTAACTGAACTTCCCTAAAAGCGATTGTTTTGGTGACTCAGATCCTTTTGGCGGATGTTAGAATTGCGCACCGAATGGCTTTTATGTAAAGCTGGTTGGATGTTTTTCCGCCGAAGAACGGCTGGATTTTAGTGATGGAGGGCCGGATGAATAACACAAGCGCAGTTTGAGATCAAACGTACCTCTCTTCTAAGTCTTAGTCGCACTCTGGCGTTCTCGACATCTTGTAGCCTGATTATTTTAAATTCATATATGATTACTAATTGTTAGATGGAAAGCGTTGATAAATAACTTCCGCAAATCTTAACCTTGTACAAAATTTACCTTCTTACAAATTTTTTCATAAGTGCAACATATTTCACCCCATTTGTCGTTTGTACAGTAAGGGATTGAAACCGTGAAACTGTCACTGAGCAGGAATTTTTTTCGCACACATATTAATCCAATTTTGGCCGTTCGTTACTTTGTTCGAAAAATCCAACTTAAATTTATGAGAAAGCATTCCTGCCACTTGGTCTGGTTTATCTTTAGCTTGGTGAGGACCCAATGAACTCAACTGTCCTGATTATTATTATTATTATGGT